ATTTCGTCGAGGGAATCACGTTAATGCAAAATGATTCGCAAGGTATCTTAATGTTAGCTTATGTAACTTAATGTTAATTTGTATGGTTAAAAAATTTATTAAAAAATCTATACAATGTTGTTCATAAATATCTTTTGTTTTTCTGATCAAACTGTTGCTCAATTAAGTAAATATAAAAAGCATTATAATAAAGAATAATTTAGAATTTTTTAGAGCATCGATTATTTTGTTTTGAATGATTGATCTAATCATTAGTCAATATCAACATTATCTTGCCTATTACATAGCCATCAAGAAAAATATGAGGCAACCAGTTTATAACGTTTTATAGAGCGAACAGTCTGATTAATGCCTCGAAGATAAATCAAACGTAATATCGTACGATGTGGCGTGAAACAGAAGAGGATTCGACGTAACTGTAGCGACAATTTTACATACATGTAATTATGTATATAATATATGCTCATTGAAATCTAATTTTTTTCCCGTAACCACGTAAACATTTTTTTCCTTTCATTACAATGTAATGACTTAATACTTCGCTCGCAGGGTACATTCCTTGTCACCAACGAGTCATGCGTCGAGTTGTTTCTTCAAATTATCAGCGAGCTTGTTCATAAATTCGAATGTTTCTAGGTAATCGGCCCTGGTGACGTTGCTCATACCCTTGATGCATATAGCGAGGTCCTTGGTGAAGTAACCAGATTCGATGGTGTCGACGCAAACCTTCTCTAGCGTTTCGGCAAAGTGTCGCAAACGTGGATTGTCATCAAGTTTAGCGCGATGTAATAGGCCGCGAGTCCACGCAAAAATAGAGGCGATCGGATTGGTGGACGTCTCCTTGCCCTGCTGGTGCTGACGGTAGTGACGAGTGACGGTGCCGTGGGCGGCTTCGGCTTCAATTGTGCGACCATCCGGACAAATGAGGACTGACGTCATCATGCCCAAGGAACCATAACCCTGTGCCACCGAATCCGACTGTACATCACCGTCATAGTTCTTACACGACCATACAAAACCACCATCGGATTTCATGGCGTAGGCCACCATATCATCGATCAGTCGGTGTTCGTACCATATCTTCTTCGCCTCAAACTGCTCTTTGTATTCCTTATCATAGATCTCCTGGAATATATCCTTGAAGCGACCATCATACTTCTTGAGAATCGTGTTCTTCGTGGACAGATACAGTGGATAGTTGCGCGATAGCGCGTATTGGAATGAGCTGTGAGCAAAAGCGCGAATGCTTTCATCAGTATTATATTGAGCCTGAGCGATACCAGGACCTTGAAAATCGTGGACGGTGTGCTGGATCTTCTCGCCGGAATTGCCAGTCCAGGTAATTTCTAGTTTACCCGGACCCGGTACCACGAAATCCGTGGCTTTGTACTGATCAGCATGTGCGTGTCTGCCAATAATGATTGGCTCCTTCCAGCAGACCACCAAACGCGGTATGTTCTTGCAGATGATCGCCTCGCGGAATACCGTGCCGCCCAGGATGTTCCTGATAGTGCCGTTCGGACTTTTCCACATCTGTTTCAGCTTGAATTCCTCTACACGTTTTTCATCGGGCGTGATGGTGGCGCACTTGATACCGACATTGTAACGTTTTATTGCTTCAGCGCATTCTACTGTGACCTTGTCATCTGTAGCATCACGATTCTCAATGCCCAAATCGTATGTATGTAATTCGATGTCTAAGTAGGGTAAAATGAGTTTCTCCTTAATCGAATCCCATATGATACGTGTCATTTCATCGCCAAGAATGTCGACGACTGGACCTGCCTAAAGGTTGCAAAATATTTCCAAGATTACTTAAAATAAAAAAAAAACAAGAATATTTATTTTATTAAAAAATCTATACAATGTTTATAAATATCTTTTGTTTTTCTTATCAAACTGTTGTTCAATTAAATAAATTCAAAAAGCCATTACAATAAGGAATAATTTAGAGTTTTAGAGCATCGATTATTTTGTTGCCTTTTACGGCAAGATATTTGATGGAATTTTTTTCTAGACAAATCTTTTTTCATACATAAGTTTCACTTTGTAAATTAATATTAATTAAAAATGTCTTTTTAAAATACTACAATCTATGTCGGACTCAGTATTTTAATATTTATTTTTAGATACAGTATTCCCATATTTTTAATTATTAGATAATATTCATATATTCAAGATTAGCACTAATGAAGATGTATTCCAAATTAATAAAGTAAAAAGTCAGACGATCGGTGTAAAGTCCACTTTCACACGCCCCTTTCTTTGAAGCAATGGAAATCAAGGTTATCATACCGGTTTTAAATCCCTCCTCCCACTTTTTGAACCTCGCCCCAGGATATCAATTACGTAACTCCTCTAGACCGGAAAAAAGTGAAAATTATTATGTATGTCAACACATTATAAAAATTTTCACTTTTCGCATTTCCGTTCTAAGGAAAACGTTACCGTCCCGATGAGACAGTGTCATTTTGGAGCAGACAGTTGATTCACATTTACCTTTATTTTTGCCATTGTCGCGAATGAGGCGCCGAAAACGCTCTTCACGAGTTGTTCCGTCGACGACGGATGTTGCAGCAGGTGGCGACGGTGACAATTGGATTCCCGCACAGCGAGCGGGAACGATGACGACGACGAGACACCGTAGTAAGTGGCGGACTGTAATGAGCGTACAGTCCTTATAAAATGCGCGTACGGTTGGAGGACACGGTGGGGCGCAAGCATGGCAGTAAATGACGCGTGTCACCCACCTCTCCACCTATATACTTGTACTTTTTAATATTCCCTTCTCCTCTTATTGTTTCTCTACCTTTTTTTCTTTTTTCCCTACTTCACGACGCACTTGACTCTTTTATTTTTTTAAATCAATTGTTAACGCGACGTAGAACGTTTAGCCTAAGATTGATCTGATATCACTGCAATGATAAGAACCGTTATCACGCGAAGTCATGTTCTTATACGAGTACCCCAGATTCCAGAAATTCTCGAATGAAATTTAACGCATCTCTTTATCTTTCTCTTTCTCTTCCTTTCTTATGTCGAGAACGAATGCGATGTAACTGACGTAACTGATCGGCGTAGGGGAGAGGCATATGCTTTTTATTGCGTTGCTCGTTATCGTATGAATTCGTATTTTTATAGAGGACGCGTGCGAGATGCATTGATGTGACGTAGTACTTGTAGTTTTGCGGTTTTGCGTATCTATCAGCATCTATCGAGATTCTCTCAACCTTGAGATCTTACGACTGGATTTCACCGAGATTTGGAGTCGCATCCCACCAGCGCTGTTTCCAGTTGTTTCGAGATATTTCGAGCACTGTTGCTACAATTGGCTGTAAATGAAAATAAAGGACAACGTAAACACATGGATTGTATTTTCTTTCGAAGTCACGGCGCGTTTAATATTTTTAGCAAGAGCCGCCATATTGCGCGAGTTCATCGGAAAAATTTCACTATCAGATGTTTCATAAGGGTATATCCACACAACTTGCATAGCCGCATAAACGTATGCATAAAGAAAATTATCCAATCACAATTTACGTGCGTCTTTATAGGAGAAATGCGATTGAATAATTTTCTTTATGCATACGTTTATGCTGCTATGCAAGTTTGTGTGGATATACTACCTGCTATTGGAGGCTTAAGCCCGAGACACAATGCGACGGAATAGCGATAGCGATAGGAATAACACGATTTCAACCTATCAGAAACTGCGTATTCCGATATATCCGATTTCTGATAGGTTGAAATCATGTTATTCCTATCTCTATCGCTATTCCCTCGTACTGTGTCTTGGGCTTTAGGGTGAAATCACACGGTGCGGAAAAGACTGCGG